GCGGGAGCTCCGTCGTGACCGCCGCGGGGCGCCGGGCTGCTCTGAGGCACCTGCCTGTGGGCGGAGAGAGCGGCGAGAGGCCGAGGCGGGCAAGCTGAAGCCCATGACCCTTACGATGGTTTTAAATAACACTTAGGGTGTTGGAGAATCGGTAATTAAGCCAAAATTAATTAATGCTTGTTCAGAACAACATCACGCGGTCCGCTCGCAGCGTGTGTGCACCGCAGCGCCTCTGCAAGCTGGCAGCGGCTCAAAAATCAAAATACTTTGCCACCGTAGTCCCAGCCGTGGGCTTCGCTAGCGGTGCCCACCTTCTCACCAGCAAAGCTGCGTGGCCACGGCGCTAACTCGGAGCCTCCAGAGTGCAGGTGAACAACCACTGGCCTCACTTTACGGTAATCCAGCCGTCAATCAAGGCAGCCGAACTGGTGTAACTGGGTGCTGTGAAGACTCTTTAGACCAGTAACTGCAAACTGAGGGTGAGTATTTGCTAAAAATTAGTTTGTTGGTAAAGCGCAGTAAGCAAAGCACCAAGTCAGTCACAGAAAGCAGCAGAAACCTCTCTCTGCTCAGGTATCGCAGCTAGCAGGTGAGCAGCTCTGTTTTCTGAGGCACAGATCACTGCCTCTCCCCAGCAATTGCTTCAGACATGGACTACTGCATTTTTAAAGAAGTAAAATAAGCATGTAGAATTATTCTACAAATACCACTATTTCAGTCAGAAAAGCACGCGGCTGAATGTGATATGCAAGCAAACAGCACAGCCCAGACTGCACATCAGCAGACCGCAAAGTGTCTTTGCCATATTGTACCCAGCAAGCCTCAATTAATCAACATTCTCAATCAAAGGCTGCTAGCCCTTATCAAGAACAGCAGACTACAATAAGTTTGGTAATTCTAGGCCAAACATTTCTTCTAAAAATTTTTTTTCATCTTAAAGCCAAAAAGCATTTGGCACAATTCTCAAAAAGTTCTTGTATCCTCTCTCTCCTTTCCTTTTAGCACTCCCATAAAACCGTTTGCTTCCTTTCTTCATGGTATTTCTGGGAAGCTATTTTGGCATAAGCTCACACATTGAACATTTCAAAGAAACTGGTTTAGCTCTGGCAGCAATCATTTTTACATTTAAAAATAAAGGAATTAAAAGCTCAAAGTTTAAGACATTCAAAATATACATATTCTATAATATAAGGGTTTGTCACATGCTAATACAGATTGTCATAAGGACAGTGGAGTAAATCTGCAAAAGCAAACTCTTTACTTTGGCATTATGAGCCCACATACTTTCTATTAACATTAATTTTTACTAGAAACATTAATTTTTACTAGATTTTTTGAAGATTATAGTTTGTTACTAGCATTTAATACAGTCAAAATCTAAGTAAGCATATTGAATTAGTTAGGTATTTTTATTTGAAAGGAAGGAATGGGGAAGCGTTTAGCCATCACATTTCAGCCACCACTTTAGATGAAATATTATGCGTCTCCACCAAGAACAGTCTGCTTAACAGAGGATTTCAAGTGATCTTCCCAGGCCAACCGAGTGGGAAACACGAGAACGAAAGACAAAACAGAGCATCTCAGATATACATTGCAGACAATGAATGTGGCTTTTTACTGTGTTTCATGTGAAGATGCACCAGTAAACCATTTTGCACCCTGCTTGTTCTGACAATATTCCTTTTCTTGGGTGTTGTAATTCAAATTTCAAATTTTTATTTTGGATAAAAGACCCAAGTTGTGATCCAGAGATGACTACTATTATCATTCTTTAAATGTCTCTTTAACCTTACTGTATTTCCCACCTATTAGGGGAATTTAACCTTTTGAATTTTATTCTTCTGTCTGCATACAAAATCTTCTTCAGTCTCTTACATTTCTGTGACTCAAACTGGTATTTTAAGCTCCAACACTAAGCATTTAAAACACTGAAACTTTTTCATTAAATAAGCTTAAATCCAAATGAAAACATCTGGGTTTCAGTTTCCTGAACTATTTCAACAGAACGAATGGAAACTTCTAAACAATAAACTATCAGACAGTTTGCATTTGGCTTTAGTCAGTTTCTTCACTTTCACCAAATACACTGTGAAGCATTTGATAATTCCATATTAATGTGATTTATTTACTGATAGGATTAAGTACTTTTAATAGTCCCATGATTCCTAATGTTAGCATTTACTTCAGTTGTTATAACTGAGCAAGATAACTCTGTCAAGTATATGCTACAGCCTCTTTTCATATGGTTACTTGTATACTAAAGCCATACAAATGTCATTGGGGTGGGAAAAACTGCTTCCCCTCCTCAACAAGGGCAAGAGAAAAGTGACTTAAAATGAAATTATACATGTCCCTGAAATCTAGGAGGAGCTTATTTTCTTTTTGTAATTTGCCTAGATTCGGTCTGCCGATTTTCTTTGATATGTCAAACCAAGTTTCACTGAACAGCTTTTAGGATATTAACTTCAGCAGCCAGCTTCACAAACACTTCTGTAACCTGTTGAAAAATGCCCTTTTGTATGAGGGGCTTCACATATGTAACAGTGTACTTCTTTATAATGTACAAGGAAAAGAATACCATTATTGGCTGTTAAGATAAAAGCAGGTAATCACATCACTTCTTCACTACTGCATTAGCTTGTTCCTCTAATTTTTGGGAGGGAGGGTGAGGGGAAAAGACAGAGGGCGAGACAGGGAGTAAATCCCTAGCCAGTTTTTCCACCTCCCCAAACTCTGAAATTATTGAAAGAAAAACAAAACAAAACAAAACAACGCATCCACTTTAATTTACTTTTCTGTTAGTGTGCTGCATCATTCACTCTCAATTAAGTTAGCAATTAATTACAAGGATTGCATCAGTAGCAAACAACATATATTCAATTAATCCTTCTGAAATACATTTTTAAGTCACCATAAAAAAATACTACTGTGAGCCATTACATCCTACAAATGTTTCATAAGCAACAACTTCTTAAACCAGTAATTAAGAAGTTAAGAGACCATAAAGGGGAGTAGTTTTATGAAAATATGAAATATGTTTATTTCATAACTTTATTCTATTCCTTTTTACATGTGTTACTAATTAAAGTGTTTTCAAGAATTTTTCAAAGTCCTGTATAGAAGCTTTGGCGATCTCTGTACAAAACACCTCATCGGGCAAGGATACTAGCTGGTCCAGAGAGATGTAGCTGGGTTGTGCTGGGTCATACTGGGCTCTTCCCAAGAATGTAAGAAACATATGTCTCTCTTTGATTCGTAATAGCTTTGAGTTGAAAACCTAAGAAAGAAAAGGAAGAATCTTTTAGGCTGTCTAAATTTCAGACTCTGATGAATCTAAAATAAGAGCATTTTTTAGACAAAATGAAGTTCTAGGAAGAAAAATAATTTGCATCTTTTCTCTTATTTTTGTCAAACACCACGTAGGTTACATTTATATATAAATCTAAATTCTAAATAAATGTTTCAATACAATATGCTGAGGGAAATCAGGGAGTGATACAACTCTTGTAAGCATGATAGTTTTTTTTGTTTATATATAACTATATTACCTTGGTGTAATCACAGCCAAGAAAGCAGAGAGGAGACATTCAGAAACAGGGAGCAAGAATACCTAAGCATTTTCCCTATATTATCAGAAGCGTTTATTTATACAGTCAGATTCAGATGAGCATTGTTACAAGGAAGAAATGACCAGGTGACCACTTGGCATAATACAAATGAGTGAATTGCACAGTGGCAACAGAAAAGGTGAGTGGCTGCGCCTCCTGTCACAACACAGCCAAAACGCACAGTGCAGTGGTTCAAAACAACCACTTGTCTTCTGCTGCACAGCAATGCAGAAGACATTCAATACATCTTTGAAGGTATTTGTCACAAAAAGGATTCTAGACAGTCAAAGGCAAGAACAATGGTAAGAGAAACATGAAAGAAATCAGTGGAAATCTAAAAAGAGAGAAGTGGGGAAGGCAAGAGATGCACAGTTAAGTCTTAAAAGCAGAGATCTAACTTCGCATTTCTGAGCAGTACAACTGAAGAGAGATGCTGCTTTAGAGAAGATAATGGTGAAAACATGAATGCTAAAGCAATGAAAGCGAGCAGAGTTTTTACTAAAAAGGGAGACTACACTACTGAAGGAAGGGTTTAATGAGGATGCAAACTAATTTGAACTAGGACAGAAAGCAAAACTACTGTTCCTCTTCTGCCTTCCTTGAATTTTAAGAGGAAGTCAGAAGACAGGGAAAAAACCTTAACCGCCATTTATGGAGCTAACTGACAGGAAGGATGATTACAACAGCAGCTGTAAGCTCAGAAAGGATTTGACAAAAAAATCCTGTATGCCTCTTATTTTCAGCATTACTGTCATTCAGAATAGAAGCAAGAACGGATGGAGACAAGTATGCATTTGTGAATGCACAAGTTAATGGCCAGACCATATACAGACTGAGTTGCACTAGCCATATCCTGGAACTCAACAGTTTTTGAGGATGGAAGGGAAGAACAGGGAAGAGAGGGTGACTGCACCAAGAACAAGGAATAGAGGAAACTCTCCACCTAGCCTTCCAAACAAAGGGAAGAGAAATAACAAGGTGAACCACCACCAAGCCAACAATAAGACAAGAAGAAAGCGAGCAAGACTTGTGGTCACTTATAGGTCAAGGAAGGCAAAAGTGACACACGGATCGGAGTTATAGCAAGCATCCTTGTTAAGTAAAGATATATTAAATAGCAAGATGAGTAATCAAAATCCTGGGGCGTAGTTTTATTTCCCCATATAATTTTGGCTTTTTAGCCAGTTAGATTAGACAGTTAGATTCCCTACTAGACTTACTTAGGAAGAAAATTATTGCAGTTCAGAAGTTGTAATTTGTGCTTTCTTTTTTTCCTTGAAAGAAGCTAGTATGACTGTTGTCAGCACTGGATGAAATGACTAATGCTTTCAACTTTTAATTTGTGAGGGAATAACAGTAATGAGATAGAAAAAACCAAAATAGTCATCAAGAAACTAATCTATTTTCACTCCTGTGATTTTTTAGCTATTGCTGCAGCAATAGGAAGATCAGTAAGAATCTGACTGCCTAATGGACAGAACTTCTCTTACCTTTAAACTATATTTTCAGATCCTAGAATCTATAAAATTTCATTTTTAACTACACAAATCTGAAAGAAATGTTTTTGTATATATGTTATCTAATGAACAGATCTTCTGCATGATCTGTCTTCTCTTGTGTCTCTTAGCTAGGTCAGATTTCAGGACAAGGAATCTCTCAGCAGGCAAGTAATCTCTCTTGCATGAATCCAGAAGAGATGAGCATGACTACTTCTGTTGAAAACTTAAAAATTCACAAGACAGGGGTAGTGGTGTCACATGTGCCAGGGGAAGAAGAAGGGCACTTCCACACTGGAATCCTCAATGGTTGCTGAATTGCTAATAAAAGTTATCCCAATTAGAGTAAAAGCCACAGACAAGAATTCACGCGTGTCCTGCATACAGTGAGGCTCCACCTTCAGCACAAAACTAGTGAAGCAGCTATGCAAAGAGCACCTACAATTTATTCCCAGATTAACAGCTCACCTGGGGAAAGCGAGTAAGCATGTGGTGGGGAATGCCCATTATGTTGTGTAAGTAGTCAAATGTCTGTTTGAGCCTCTTTTTATTTGCAGTTAAAATCTTGGGGGTTTTAAACACAATCTGTTGAATTTCATTACGCTGAAAACCAAGTTCAATCTGACAAACCTGAAAAAGAACACAATTTTATCTTCAGAAGTCAGCTACAAGAAACAGCTTATTTTAACTGAAATAAACTAATGCAAAATTCTTCTACCCTTTGTCATGCAGCAACAAGAATGCAACCTACAATAATATCTGCCACTCCAGTTCGTCTTGAGTCAGATAGTGTGAATTATTTATCATTCTGGATTGAAGTGTAATTTGTTTACAGAGATCCCTGAAGTAAAGATGACTTCTGTGAATGCTATGTATTTTTCAGCTTGTCTGAGATATGAACAAAAAAGCTGCATCTCAGTATGCATGGCAGTTACAAGCACAAAAATTCTCCCCTAAGTGTCTTTCATCAGTTTCAATACCAAGCTGTCAAAAGAGACTTGACTTTCTAGCTGTGGAGCTGTTGAGCTCTGTAAAACACAGCAATCAAATAGCTAGTGACTACTTTTGTTAATGTGTTATTTCTTTTGCTAATGTATCCAAGTTATATTTTTATATTAGGGAGTATAATTTCAGTCCTGTAGTCTTCAACTGAAGTCTGTTGAACCTGAAAGAGATGTGTAGAATATGTGGTGTATTCAATCTATTTTACAGTTGGTTAATGTCTAAAATAAGATGTCTTTTTCAGAGACTGCCTTGACTTCAATTATGGTTTCCCAAAAGGAAAACAAAACACATTTTTTCAATAAAATCATGAGCACTCCTCCCAAAGTGCAGAATGGCAAGCAGTTCATTGAGTTGTTGAGAAAGGAATTCAGCATACAAGAGTGTCTGGTAACTCAGCCATTTCTTCTATCCTCCAGTGACATTTACAAGCAGCTTGTTTTCAGTCATGAAGTGGGTGTGCTTGTCAGTCAACATAACCAGACTTTCAAATCCAACTCAGGTATTTCTTCAGTTGGCAAAAAGGTGGTGCTTTTTGTTTTTCGAGTTTGATGTGCCAAGACTGCAGCTCTTTTCCAAAACTGCCTGGCAAATACAAAGGGAAGGGCTTAGAATCTGGGTTTTGAAGCCACCTTAGGACTTCCAGATCCTTACAAGGAACCTTTTCTAGACGTGATTATAATCAGGTCTTTCAACTCCTAGTTCTTCCTTATCTGCTTCATAAATATTTGCATAGTATTAGAAATACCAATCAACTAAGACAGCATTCAAGTATGAAGAGATGTGTTTGCACTTTAGTGGTGTCTTCCACAGATCTGAGTTTGCAGGGGTAACTTACTGCATTAAGATACACAACTGAGAGTAAGACCTGATGGTTAAATCAGTGGAGAGGTATAGCTGGCCCCACTGTAGAGGTAATTGAGGCAAGCATCTTGAGCTTTTCTTTTCTGCTCTGTGAAATGGAACAGCTCTCTCTTGACATAAACAGTGAGCTCAAGTCTGAATTGCTTTGACTGCACTCAGATTGACAGTAAACATATTTAATATTCAGTAAGTCTCTAGACCACATATGCTTACTGTGTAAGCCCCAGCAATATTCAACGTACTCCATATGATTCCCACAACAGGCAGTGGTAATGCAAGCTTTCCAGTTTTACCCTATCAGTGAATCTGTAATTGTGCTTGATGAAACCTTCAGAGGATGGAAGCTCATTTAGTCCATGACTGCTATCTTTTAACAACCAGTATCAGCTGCAGCAGTTGTTTCTAAGTAACAGCCCACTCAGAATGAGGGATACCACCAGATCACTTCTGAGCTGCTGGTATATGGTTTCACTTTCTGAGAACTGCCTGCCCACCACCAGCTTAGGACATACAGGTCTGAACCCAGATTCTGAATCTGAGACATCCAACCTCCTGAAAGGCTGGAGCTTCTAAGTATCAGCAGATTCTAATAGCGAGGACCTAAAAATCCTTCCTCTCTCTCTAGAACATGTTAAAAATAAGGATGCTACACTATACACTTTTTGGTAGATAGGTAACATAGTTGCAGAGAACTGAGGATCTTAAAAACACATTCATTAGAATATACTGAATCCCTAGCCTGTGGGAACAATGTTCATTAAAAAGAAAGCACTATTAATTGGAACAGTCTGCTACTTTCCAGTCTCCTCCCTTACCACACACACATTTTAGATTGCAAGATTCCCAGTGTTTAATAGTTTCAGAGCAGTGAGTCTGTCTGAAAATTATATATTTTAATTCACAGTTATGCATTATAGGATAATGGGATTTCTCAAGTTGTTACACTACATCATGCTGTTTGGCCTAGATGGCTTTACAGCACAATAATTAAACCAATACATAGTTACATTTTCAAAAGGGAAAGGAGTCCCTGTGGGTTTGAAGTTATTTTCCCCACAGTTGTTAATAACGACCATCTGCTATCAGACAATAGGTGTCAAATGCACATTTTGGCAGACTAGCTACCTGCCAAGAGGAAAATAATCAACTGCACATTTCTTGCTCCTAAATCCAAGTTAGCAAAAAAACATAATAATTAAGGAAAAAAAAAAAAAAGGAGGGAGCAGACCCTATTTTTCATTCGTAAAGAAATGGGTAACAATTTGTGTCATCAGATAGCAACTTTGGCAGGAAGGGACCCAGATGAAGTTTCTAACCTACATCAAAGTAGAAGACAGAGCAAGATACTGCTCCACGTATGCTGTAAGCTTGCAAGCTGTAGCAGAAAAGAAATTGTTTAACAAAATCCTCAGTTATTTTATATCTCCACTAAAATTATTTCATTAAATTCTTTCTGTACAGGATTCTCCTCCAGGAATTTTATCTTCTGACAACTCTTAAACTATGTGGATACACAATACACTTTTAATATCTACTAATAAGCTCACCTGAAGATTTTCTTTTACAGGCTCTAATTTGCCAGTCAGTAGCCTTGGAAGACGAATTACCAGATCCTTTGTCTACAATTAGGAAAAGCACACAAAGGAAAGATTATAAGTGAAAGCTTATTTGTGAATCCATCTGTGAAAGAAAGATAGAGATCTCATATAAGCTTTTTCCCCCCCCCCCACTTGGAAGAGGGATGCACTTTCACTTGCATTTCATTTTATCTCTACCCCAAAGATGAGTTTGCATGAAGCAGCAGTATATTAAGATGCAAAAAGTTACTCAAATATGTTTGTTTGGAAAACAAAAAATAACGTAGCTGTTGTAAAACAGACAGGAAGAGGGAGTAAAAGCATACCCCAAAAGTACAAAGCATGCTCAAATGCCCAATCTCTCTCAGTGCTCAAGTTGTTTCTTCCCACTTTTTTGTAAAAAGTAAACAAAACGCTACCTGATAGAAGCTATAAAAGGATTTTTTAACTGCAGTGGAATTTGTCTACCTCAGGATGTGGTTAGACTATAGTATTATGGCAATACAAGAAATTACTCCACGTCCGCTAAGCCATGTGATTACTTGTAATCCGCCCTGAGTACAAGGCAGTGACTAAACCCTTTTCCAGAGAGATTTCTTACCTCAAGCATGGAAAGGCCAGCAACAGGCACTGTGACAGCTATGACTGTTCAGCTAATAGAAGCCAATAGAAGAACACCAGATTCCACTTGAACTTGACATTTATTGCAACCCCCAGCTACTGCAGGAAACAACTAACACTGCCCACTTATTCCAGGAAAGTCCAGCTACTACCTCCTCTGAAGATCCCGAAGCATGGTTCTAAACACCTGCTAAGCACGTAATGTGGTAAGCACTCACAAGTGAACCCCAGGGTTACTCTTGGTGAGCTGAGCATATGATTTGGCATTTACTTTGATATGATATTCGCAGATCAGACTATTTTTCACCAACGAGTCAACTATGTTACAGTATCTTGAAGAGATGAAGAGAGCCAATTAATTTTCTAGAAGTTAAAAAAGTTGTTGCTCTCTGTTTCAGCAATGGATTCAGTCTTCTGACCCACCTCAGATAATAAAACTGGAGACATAGATGCTTGTTTGACAATAACCTGCAGATCATCTTCAAGAACTGTACTTCAGGACCTTTGAATGTTAGATGTCCATATTACTCCTATAAACAATTGAAATCATGTTATCCTCCTATAACCCTCTGTGTTACCATCAGTAACGTCACTAATGTTTATGGATAACTTCCAAACACTTGAAGTATTCATGTTCAAAGGCCTTACAGTTGTCACTGACAAAGTACCTAAAGACTTCAGTCTTTACCTTTTTTACACTGAGGCCAAGCTCATTTTTGAAGAAACCCAGTCTGTTATCCAGCCTTTCCACTGAAAACAACAGCAAATATGGAGCTCTTGAGACCATCTGAGCAATTTCTGCCGTACCAAATTTTTTTGATTTTAGGTAAGCCACTCTAGAAAGAGAACAAAAACAAAATAAAATCCAGTGATGAAAATTTTATTGCCTCCATTTATTCAGTACTTGCTTAAATTCCTCAGTGATATCTTATAAATGGACAGATGTTCTAGCATTAACATGCAACCCTGCCAAAAATAATTAGGGGGAAATCTGCAGTTATCATAAAAGCAAAATACCATCCCTTCCAATTAATTAGAAGTAAAATAAACCTCAGAACAGAATGTCAATACCAAAGACAGATTTTAATTCCTTCCAGCTGTACTGAAGCAGATAACTATGTTAACCTACTTTTAACTACCAGCCTGTCTCCTAGATTGCAAACACATTAATAGATCATCATAGGGTATGGACAAGAAGATATATACAGCCTTTTGCTATTTTAATGAATTCCATTTCTACTGCTGAAAGAACAGAGTACTATACCTCATACATCCCTGTTTTGCCAATAGCACTGGAGTAGAAATATCATACAACAATGCTATCTGTAGAGACATTGTCCAAAAAGACATTTCTAAATCAGCTGAAGTTACGTTTGTTACAATAGGTCCCTACTTTCAGTCACTGGTCTGAGGATTTAGTTACAAAACATCTGGTTGTCAGAAAGGAGAACGAGTTGACTAAAGTTTTTATGTTTAACAGAGCTTGCTTGCTTGCTTTCTTTCCAACTCAAAACTTCTTCCAAACTTTGTTGAATTCAGGAAAGTGAAATCCTATTTCAAGTAGTACTTGCAGTAGATTATTACCATAGCTCCCAGAAAAAGGAATGGGGGGAAATACAGCACACAAAATAAAAAGAGACATGATTAACCCACATTCTACCATTTGCAAAAAAACTGAAATACAATTTGAAGAGGTTCCTTTGGTTATAGATAAGCATATACAGAAGTATTTGCTGTCAAATGAACTTGAAGCATACAAGAACTGAATTTATCTGGCAGTAATTAAGATCCTAAATGGATTGCAGAATATTCTGCAGAAGCAGATATTCAGCAAAAGATGGACTGTGTGTTAAATCATGTCTTGTGGAGAGAAAAAAATAAAAATGCCTTCCAGTCACTACAACCTCTGTCTCTTTCCACAAACCCTAAAAAATGAAGTCATCACAAGACAGAAGATCCAAGAACAAACTCTAGAGGACCAATTCCTAACTGAGCAGGCACCCCAATGCAGAAGGTAGCAGCCTAGGCTCCAGACAATGCTGACGGAACTGGCTGCAGGAGCCTCAGAGACAAGGAGAGGTTAGCAGGGGAAGAAATGCAGAACACAACAATAAACAATTGGCCCTTCAAAAATTATCCCATTATGTTTTGAATGCTGCAGCTTGGCTACACTATATTTCTTCCATTCAGTTTTTCAAGGGCACAACTGCCAAGCATCCTAGAAACAGCTAAATGAGCAGATTAAAAATAAAACCTTTTGGTTATCCTGACTCCCCTCCACTTGTTTTCTGTTAACAAGTCATTAAGATTCACACCTGAAGCATTTCTTCACATCCTGGAAGGGCAAGAAGCTTAAAAGAGGGATGGCAAGATTGTAATAACCTGGATCTAGAAACTGGTATATTAAAGAAGCACAATCATCCAACCTGGCCGAAGTTCGAGATAAATTTGTGAGTGTTGGCACCAAGGTTAGCCCTCATTCTACTACAGGGGTCAGCAGTTCTCTGTAGCATGTTAACAGTTTTAAGTCATCATTAACAGTACCGTAAAACAAAGCATCTGGTGCAGCTGCAGTACAGACACTGATTTGCAACTGTCAGAATTGTTATGAATTATGGAATGTTTTGACTTTTACAGTGTTTATCTGAAGTTAAATGCCAAATCTATTGAAATTTGTGTTTTGTTTCCTGGCAACGTGGAATCCATAGCAATAAAACATTCCAGAGTGATGTAACCAATACCATGTCCATCTGCACCGAAGTGTTTATGCAAAGGTGATACTCGGCTTTCAAAAGACAGCTATCTGAGACACATTCACTTCACAGCCTGCCATACACCCTCCGCAGCACACTTACTTTAAAGCTTGCAGGAACGCATTCACCAGAGCCAGAGGTGAACTAACTGAAAAATCAAGTTGCAGAAAATGAAGAAGAAATTGGATTTCCCTGTTCAGCCCCTACTTTACTAACCAGGCAGTGCCACAGGACAGTCACTGAAAAGCAAATCTGACTCCACAGGACAGTTAGAATGTTCATCGTAACAAAAAATACTCTCTTTAGAAGAATATAAGCAACTCTGACATCTAGACTCAAAGCTACTGCTGAAAAATGACACATGTTCTTTTTGGATATTGTTTCTGAAAGGCCACTTACTGAACAGGAGGATGGAAGAACAGAGGAGAAAGAAGAAAAGTCAGGTCTATGTTAGACATGAGTCTACTAATGTGCCTGTTTCAAAAAAGCCGTATTTTCAGATTTCTGTCTTGGACAGCTACTACGTGCAAAAGCCAAGCAGAAAGACTTTCTTTTCTGGAATTTTTAAAGACCAAGATGTTTTGAGTTCATTACAAAGTGCACACACACAAGTTGTTCTGTAAAAGAACTGTTGAATTAATGGAAGCCTGGAGTAATTTTAAAAATAAGAGCCCATTTTCCTGCTTTTTTTTCTATAATCAACACACCTAATGGAAGTATGAATCAGAAGAATAAAGCAATTCCATTTCAGAATCAAACTTCTTACAGGTACACGCCAAACAAATACAGCTGAGTAAAGAAAGCTAGGATCTCTGCGAGACACAAGTAAGTGCTTCCTCCGTGGCACAGAGACAGGGATGAGCAGTAAAATTTGTTAATGGGACAGTTTTCAGGTGGATCAGGATGTTGACTCGACTTACTATACCACCACATGTTAATGCTGACTGATGGAAAGGCACAGAAACATGGAGCTAGGGATCGAGTGAGAAAGGAAGCAGCAGCAACACAGGTTCAGACAAGGTTAAGCCAACTGGGAAACTAGATCTTCAAGCCAAGGGGCTTAACACCCTGCTGCTATTTGAAAGGCTTACCTGGTTTCTAAAGCTTCCAAATCTTCAGCAAGGATGTATGGATTTTTGGTCAGGAATGGTCCCAGCTGATTGTCTTCTACACCCACATCCTTAAGAAAGAGAAGTATTTTTCTTATATCTTTTTCAAAGTCCAAGGTCAGTAAGAGTTGACCTGCCTTTTGACGTTTCTCCACTTGGGATAAGTCAACTCCTACAACAAACAAAATTAGATATTGTTTTAATTAAACACAGACCCTACTTCCTATAAATGTTTCAGGAAGGCATGTTGAAATTTATAGGACTACTCCTTTTTTGCACTGATTTAGCATGCTTCAATTGCTCAACACAGCAAGGTCACAACACCTTGTATATTGTGGAAAGATTCCAGATAAAACAAGCAGTCATTTTAGATGCTTTTGCAAAGTTTATTTTTTGAAGGAAGACATTTGCAGTGAATCCTGCATGTGAGGAATCAAGTACACTAGCGTGTGCCACTTGTAGAGACCTACTCCTGTTGCACGGAAGTATGTGTCCAAGGAATTCCCAACTCCATTATACAAGGGAGGGGAACGATTTTGCAGTGAAGTGCCTTTGGATACTGGCTCACACATAGCAATTTGTTACTGCACGGAGCCAGATCTCCCTCTCTCAAATATTTATTTCTCCAACCTCCTTCTAGTGTTCCTTACACTTTTGGGAAACGAGGTGGCCAGCAATCTTGAACTCAGCTATCCCTGCACAGTCCAAGTGCTTTTTGATGAGAAGTAAAGTTCTCTTCCATCCCTTCCTCCTTGCCTCTCCAGTTTACTGTGCCCCACTTCTAAGGTTCTCCACAGCAACCGCTCTCCTTCCTTCCTTCCAAGGACGGAGAGCTGTAATTTCTTTTGCAGCACATTAAAGCATCCTTAACCAGCCCAAAAGAAGAGAGACCAATCAAGTTACACAAAGTGCTCCCCACCTCCAGAAGTTGTGGGACATGCCTCCTTCTAGCATCCACAGCACTAAGGGACTAAAGCTAGCCAGCCTCGTCTTCAACTAATACAGCATTGCTAGTGAGTCATGCAGTCCCTTCTCTCTTTCTATTTACCCTGGATAACGTTCTGCTGCCCTTAGCCATTGGTCACTATTCCTATTTTCAATTTTACAAGGCAGCCAGTAAGATTAAAACACAAATTATAGAATCTCCAAAGCTCCAGATATAGGCAAACTACAGAAACAAAATCTCACATACCTAGCTGGACGAGTTTCGCCAGGGTTTCTGAGTGATCAACATAATCTCGGAGTGTGGAAGATTGAAGGGGAAGAAGCGGTTCTGCAATGATCTGTACGGCTTCTTCCTCAGAAATCTCCTCCAAAGCAGACGAAGGTGGGATGTCATCCCAGTCTAAGAAACAAATACAGAAGACCCAAATGCATTTTGTGAAAGACAAAGCTGCTCCCACCAAATGCTATACAGATCTCTTAAAAGCCATTTCAACATGCAAGAACGCTGTGCATGAGATGAACAGTCAATCAATTATTATTTGAAAACATATGAAAACATAGACTCCACTCCCAGTTTTTGTCTCTGTTCCATGTCCTTGTCACTGCCCATCAACCCTTGCTCATGTGGCCAGATCTGAGCGTAGTACCCAGCAAGCCTGCCTTCAGTCTGCTGCCTTGATCACTGCAGACAACAGATCACATCACCTTCTTGAAAAAGAATCTTCTTTCATGTCTTCACAAATACATTCTTGCCTGATCATATCCAGACCAAAGGCTACTGCAAAGGTTATTTTTCATAACCTGACAAGCCCACTACTTTGTGCCTTTTCTGAATCTGATGTCTGAACTGCAGTTGTTTTAACTTTGAAGGTATTTCACAGCCAACTCCAACCAAGCTATCATGTCTTATCCATTACAGGATGGCTGCTGACTGCCACCACCTCTAACAGCTGAAGAAGTCAAGCTCCATTTCCTACTCATTAAGGTTTGCAAGTGAACACCATTATGCTTGTTTCACCTTAAGTGTTCCAAGTCACAGAGCTCAGTGTCTTTTTAAAAAATATTTCTCTAAACTGATCTAGCTCACAACAGCTAGATCAAGATTACTGTTTTGCAGGCTGACTGCTAGCATCCACCTCAATTATCAAACTGATTACCGATCAACAGCCCTAATTATAAACTCTTCAGGATGGGGATTTTCTGTGTCCTGTACCTTCGCACAAGGACTTACTAGAGACTAGGGTAACACTCTTCCATGTCAAAAAAACAAAGCCATACCAGAGCTACCAAGACAGGTTCCAAAATAAGTAGGAATATCCTATTGTTCTAGGAAGAGTTGCACAGACTAGCTCAATAGCTGTTGAAGGTCTTGCCACTTATTTTTCTCAAAGCCTCAGAAACAAAAGCACAGTAAAACGTTTTTAGCAACATCTACACCTTAAACAATAATAAGAATTCTCTAGGAATCTATATGGATATCACGCATTTCCTTTCAACTTGTTGAGGACCGAACCAATATACACCAAGGTCCATTCTGGAAGCATAGATGCCCTTTTTTTGCCACTCTAAGTTCTTCAAACGTCCGATCAGGAAACATACCTCAAGTTATCCCCCCAAAAAAGTTAGCAATTAGATTTATTCCATTGTATACACTGCCAACCAGACAAAATGCTCCACACACACACATACAACAGTAAGTCTGCTGGCAGATAAAAATCTGGCATGTAAATAAACTGCACTGCAGGTGCAGACACATACGAGCTGGCTGACCTGTCAGTTCTGGTGCAGCACTGTTTCCAGAACCAGCTGCACAAACACACAGATCTCAGTTGCAGCTCTGAGCCACCCCAAAAATAAGCTCTGTAGGATCCAACTTGGCTGTGCTCAAAGCAGAATCTGAACATACAAGACTGCTTAGTAATCCAGAGCAAGTTTCCTCAGCATACTAGAATTATTTTCAGAGGGTGGTATTTTTTTTATCCTCACTTAGATATAGAAGCAGAGAAAAGTGAGGTAATTTCCTTGGCGCCACAACACCAAGGCAACCTTGTATCTATCTCCTTTCCTCAGGAGACGGTTTGACGAGCATTTCTCATCAGGGCAGTGCTTAAGCAGGCTTCACACTCTGCTGCCTCCTGTTGTTCATCCCTGATCATTCAAACGGCTGCTTTGTGCGAGCTGCTTCAGGGGTGGCCTCCCGCACTCCTGCTCAAAAAACAAAAACCCAAACAACAAACAAACCCCTTTATTTTGTACCAGTACAGCTATGAGGGAAAGGCAAATGCTCAGCTGCTGCAGGTAGAGTTACAAAAAGAAAAGCTCTTCAAACAGCAGCTCCAGACCAACATTTCTACCCAAAACATATCTTTATCTCGGCTTAAAGGTATTCTTTATATACTAGAGTGACCACAGGAATTCTGCGTTAACTATGGGGCTAAAAACAAGTGAAAGTCAGGTACTTCAGATAAGTATTTTAGATAAACAGGCCAAAAAAGGCAAACCAAGGGTAATACTTGAAAGCATGATTTGGAGATTCGGGAGAAATGGTATCCCTAAGGCCTCTTACCTTCATACAGTATTTTTGCATTCAGGTCAGGTAATGTTTCTGCTTTTGCTTGTTCCTGTTTTACTGGTGGAGGCAAGTTACTTTCGGGAGAAGAAAAGGATTCATCCTTGGCACTGTCAGGCGGAGAACAGCTTCCTACAGATACGTGCCTGTGCGCCTGCAATCTCCACGGAAGAACGTCATTTCTAGAGGGCAGCCCAGTCAGAGGGGAGATCCCACGACATGCCCGTGCGGTGCTGCTGCAGCTCCTCAGCCTTCCAGGAAATTCGGCAGCACGGGCCTTTTGCAGCAGGCAACACCCGCGGGAGACCTGCCGAGCCCACAAAGCCATCTTCCACCTCAGCACGGCATCCTGCTGGGAGAAGAAGGGCTGAGGAATAACACAAGCGCTGCCTCCCCTCGCCCGCAGGGCTGGGAGCGCGAGCGTTAATTCCCCGAGCATTAAAGCAGAAATTACTCGCTACAAAGCGCTCAGTAGCCGCTTTGAGGCTTTAAACGCGTGACAAACGGAGGCATAACTGAGGAGAGGAGCCGGCTCTGAATGCCA